TGCTTATAAACAGTCTCATCAATTTTTAAGACAGGGTCGACTTTGAAGTATAGCAACGTCTAGGCTTTTATTTTACCGCTCTAACTCACCTATGCTTTTCTGTAGCTCTTTAAATGTACATTTAGCACTATAAAGCCCTTGTTAGCTTTGGTTTTTAAGAAGTAATTGGTAAAATTATCATCGATTTTTGCTTGAGAGCGTGAGACCTTTAATTGTCACCGTGTTTGGTGTCCTGTCCTATTTTCTGTCTTAAGTCGATCTGTATGTATTGTATACTGTACACTTTAGTCGATCTGTATGTATTGTATACTGTACAATTTGCCCTAGTCGGTACGGCACTTCAAGACAGGCGTAATTTTATTATGACATTGAAGATCGGTTATACAATGCTATTTCTTTACACGATCCTCGAAGTCCTTCCGCAATACCATGCTTATTGGAACACCGGCCCTGTATATACACTTTCTATAAGTACATGTATAGTGTGTTGCATGGTATACACCTATTGTATATAATCTGATATGCAAAAGCACTTTCAACCATATCTTTCATCTTAAAAATTCCTGAAAAGGATTGTATACCAAAGGAGCTAAGTTTGGACCATAAACTTAGATTTTGAATTCTAATATTTATAAAACCCCGATGAAATTTTATAGGTGTACAACATCATATTTCAACGATAATTAGAAAATTTAAGATTGCGGAAAAAAACTCAGTTCCTCAGTTAACTTAAAATGTAAAGTTTTTTTTAAAAAATCAAAACTCCTCTCTGTGAAGAGATATTGAGAAGTTAAAGTTTTTAATTTCCAAATATGCACTACAAAACATGCATTCCCATAATTGTGTGTGAACTAAAAAAAGAGGAGCAACGAGGTCTCAAAGCCGTACTAGAAACGTTACAAAAATTAAACCTTTTCCTTATCTCTAGATTTTGGGTTAACTTCGCTGATTAAAAAAATCTGGTCACTCGCTCACTATAGTTTCAGTAGAAGTAAATATTTCCATTTACTGATAGCGCCGATTGAAGGATTCATAACTCTATAGAATTGGATAATGAGATAGATAGAAAGATAGATGTTACCGCCATACTAGTTATATTGGTTCAGAATAGACAACAAACATATAACTGAACCCTGATTGGATCAGGCGCTAATGGACTCGGCATACAGGATCGAGTGTCCACAGACATAAGGATGAGAAAAATGAGATACAGCTGCGAGTAATCTTCCAAAATATTTGTTTTTTTAACGTTCAATTCTAGAATAAAAATGAAAAAATTGTTTACAACCTTAGAATTTGTTAGGTTTTATTGCGCGTCTCCCACTAAATATCCCTGGGCTGTGTAGGTTATAAATTGAATTTAATATAAACATATGAATGACTAAATCCCGCGAGGGGGTTTAGTTTTCAAAATATTAAAATATTCTGTAAAATGAATAATATTTCATCCTGCTTGATTGGACTAAAACCCGGAGTTAAATTTGATATTTTAAATTTTTTGTTTAAGTTTTCCCTATAAAAATTGTAACCGCTTTGATAACTGAATTTTATTACAGTAAAAACAAATAAATAGATAAAAAAATATTCTCATCCTACTCCTATCCTACTCCTATTCTACTCCTATCCTACTCCTATCCTACTCCTATCCTACTCCTATCCTACTCCTATCCCACTCCTATCCTACTCCTATCCTACTCGTATCCTACTCCTATCCTACCCCTATCCTACTCCTATCCTACTCCTATTCTACTCCACTATTCTACTCCTATCCTACTCCTATCCTACTCCTATCCAACTCCTATCCTACTCCTATCCTACTCCTATCCTACTCCTATCCTAATCTTATCCAACTCCTATCCTACTCCTGTCCTACTCCACTATTCCACTCCTACCCTGATACTAGTTTGTATGCTTCAAGAAATTTACTCATTTCTTCTTTTATTAGAAGCATAAATTATGCCCAATTCCTGCTTTCATTAATTTTCCTAGAAAAACTCGAGATAGGCAGATAGAAAGGAAACAAATATATTTATTTATTTCCAACAAGTAATACTTTACAAAAGCATCTTCTTTATCTTTAAGTTTTCTATTTTTAATTTTTGTGTCTTGATGAAAATGAAACCATAGAACGCGAGCGAAATCTCATATTTCAAAAATCAATGTTATACATTGTCTTTTATTCTATATTGTATTTATAATACTAGCGCTTCGTGGCACTTTTCTAGTTATACTTACGGCTTTTCATGCCACCAATTTAAAACTAATTTTTTTTGGGAGATTTTTTAGTTTTTGTTGGTAGATTTACAAAAAATTACAATTTTGAGACTAAATCATCACATAAACCTCTCTTGAGGGCATGAAAGGTTCCCAAAAACGCTAAATAATTTGTAATACTTCAGATTAAGATTAGTGATTATTAAAGAATGGTGGGTTACGAGTGCAGAGAAATAAAGAAATGAACTCATGGAAGGATCTAGTGTTATAAGCTTACTCCGGGTTAGTGAAACAGTAGGTGCTCATCCATATAGGATCTAGTGTTATAAGCTTACTCCGGGTTAGTGAAACAGTAGGTGCTCATCCATATTATACAGTACAGGAACTAGAAAAATCAAGGTAAATAAGAACACCCTACCTGTACTACTGTACAAGACTTGCTGTGAATTGTATAACATTATATGTTACGCTTCTAGCTCTAAGCATTTGCGGTATTACACTAGAGAGACACATTTTTGAGACGTAAATTTTTTCTTTGAGTTTTTTCGTGGAACCTCGAATTGTTTAAGATTTAGTAAAAAACATATTTCATAAATTTGACATTATTCGATTCTATTTCATTATACTTTATATACTTTATATACTTTATATACTTTATATACTTTATATATATACTTTATATACTTTATATACTTTATATACTTTATATACTTCATATATTAGAATCAGAAAGTTTTCATTATAATTTTCATTCTAAGGAGTAATGATTGTAAACATATAAGATTTCAACCTTACTTGCAATTTACTATAGCTTGACCACTGTAGTAAACTGTGAATTACAATAGCTGAGGTACTCATTAGTATTACGCAATGATTATTAATTAGTACAGAGTCAAAAAAAAAAGTGTGATTATCGGCGTCTGGTGCAAAATTGTACTTTTTTGTGAAACTCTCCTGTATGATCTTCTTTCAATTTTTTTGGAAATTTTTTTTTTTTTGGTACTGGAAGGCCTTAAAAAAATCCGCGAAACTTTTTTTTACTCAAATTCTAAAGTTCAGAAAAGCAAAAATGTGAATATATATTATTTCTATCAAATTCTAAAATTTTTTATATATTGAATTATAGAATTACGGAAAATTTGCAAAAATGTAATAAGAAAATTCGCAATTTTCAGTTCTGGTCTAATTTTTAAGGAAAAGTTGTTTTTCAATGGCTCTTCAGGTTCCAACTGAACAGTTTATATTTATAACTTTAGAATATACTAAGAAGAAAGGAACTAGGGGATTCATAGTACTTTTCCTTAAAAACCAGACCAGAACAGAAAATTGAAAATTTTCTGTGAATCTGTGATTCAATCTTCATAACATTTTAGAATTTGATAGAAATAATATATATATATATATATATACATGCTTGCTTTTCTCAACTTTTGATTTTAAGAGAGAAAAAAAGTTCGCGGATTTTTTGGGGCCATTGGAGTACCAAAAAAATAAAAATTTCCATAAAATATTTTTAAAAAACACAATACAGGAGAGTTGCACAAAAAATATACAATTTTTCACAAGGCGCCGATAATCACACTTTTTTTTGACTCACCCTGTACTTTTCTAAAAATAGAAAAATAATAGTTAAATCTTTAACTTTTGAAAAAGATTTTCTTTTATGTAGATATATAGAAAACTTTTGGGATGCATTTACCAAAGAATTTGTTAAGGTTTTTAAACTCAAATTTCTTTTTTAAGGCTACAAATCAAATTTGTTAAAAATCTATTTTTTAACTTCATGAATTCTTTTTCAGGGTGAATGTGATGCCTCATTGAAGCTCTTCAGGAAAATCTTTTGTTTAAAATAAAATTTCAAAAAAAACAAACAATTAAAACGTTTAAAGAACTAAAAGGTATAATTAACTCATAAATTAGAAAGAGAAATTAATAAAGTTTCAAATATTCAGATATTATTTATGGATTTGAAGACTTTTGACAAGAGCTTTTTAAAGATTGAACATTCAACATTCCATTCAGAAAATGAAATTCAAAATTATAACTTTTTAATTCTTTAATGATTACATTTTTTGATGCGAGGCTCTAAATGTTTCTTCCCTCACATCGGAGAATTTTTAGATTTTTGGTTTCTAGGGCGTACACAGAAAATTGTCGTGGGGGGGGGGGCAGGGGTTTTCACAAAGAGAATAGAATATATATTAGAGGGGAATTTACTAGAAAAAGTGTAAAACGGCCATTTTGTTCTACTGTTTCCATACACATATTTTTGCTATATAACCTTTTGGGCCACGGAACATAATTTTATAGAAAATCTAAAATTAATGTTAAAAGAAAACCAAATTATGAAATAGACTGGTTTCATAATTGACCAATGATCATTTCACATAGACTCTATGCCTTTCACTTTACAAACGATGATTTTCCGCTATAACTATAAATCAAATGATGTTTTTTATTCACCTAATTCATTTTATAAAAGTTTATTTAACAGCTTTAAAAAATTCGAAATTGAAATGGATAGTCTAGGGAACATACTGTATTAATGTACTCTACTGCATATAATTTGTGAACCTTTACATGATTTGTACACTTTGAACTCCCTTTCAGGCTGAAAGGGACTGACAAAATTCATACCGAGGGATTTCTAAATTCCCCTGTAATATATGTTCTATTCTCTTTGGGTTTTCACTACCTTCTGGAGCATGAAACCCCCCTGTATATGCCTCTAATATTTAAGTTTTGCAATTATTGATGAATAAAAATAAAGATTATCCGAGTTTAGAAGAAGATCAGAAGTACAGAGATACAGAACGCCTACAAAATCTAACTAAGGACTGTTTCAACCCCTTCCAGGGGCAATCCATGGGTGCTCAAGGTGTCTAGAATTCAAGCCCAGGGGCACCAAGGGCTGCAGGGGTGTGTGCTTCTATGTAGTTGGATGGGTGCTGATGCTGGGTGGGGCGAGTGTTCACCCCCGCCCCCCCTCTCATGTCTGGGCAGCGCCAAACAAGGGATATCAAATTTATTTTTTTCATCAAATCAGGGACTGTGTTCTAAATTTGAAATGATTTTCTATTTAAAGAGTTCTATATCCGTTTCCTTTTAAAACTTTATTTCAGCACCAATGAGTAAGAAATTTTCGTTTTTTCGATCGGGAAAAGTGTTTAACTCATTAAATAGGGTCTTGTAAAATACACTTATTAATCAATTTCAATAGTTTTAGCGATGCAAAATCAAAAAGCATTAGATTTTTGATATTTACAAAAAATATTTTAATATCAGCGACGGAGAACTTCCTTTATGTCAGCTTCCTCCGGTTAACCAGAATATAAATGGAAGGTAGGAATGTAAGAATATAAATGGGAGGTAGGGATACCAGAATATAAATGGAAGGTAGGAATACCAGAATATAAATGGAAGGTAGGAATACCAGGATATAAATGTAAGGTAGGAATGTAAGAATATAAATGGAAGGTAGGAATACCAGAATATAAATGGAAGGTAGGAATACCAGAATATAAATGGAAGGTAGGAATATCAGAATATAAATGTAAGGTAGGAATGTAAGAATATAAATGGAAGGTAGGAATATCAGAATATAAATGGAAGGTAGGAATGCCAGAATATAAATGGAAGGTAGGAATATCAGAATATAAATGGAAGGTAGGAATTCCAGAATATAAATGGAAGGTAGGAATATCAGAATATAAATGGAAGGTAGGAATACCAGAATATAAATGGAAGGTAGGAATACCTGAATATGAATATCCTATCCATCCCTAACTCATCTATCCCTATTCCCATCCTATCCCATTCTATCCAATCCTATCCCATCCTTTTCCATCCTATTCCATCCTATTCCATCCTATTCCATCCAATCCCATCCTATCCCATCCTATCCCATCCCATCCTATCCCATCCTATCCCATCCTATTCCATCCTTTTCCATCCTATTCCATCCTATTCCATCCTTTACCATCCTATTCCATCTTATCCCATCCTATCCCATCCTATCCCATCCTATCCCATCCTATCCCATCCTATCCATCCTATCCCATCCTATTCCATCCAATCCCATCCTATCCTATCCCATCCTATTCCATCCTATTCCATCCTATCCCATTCCATCATATCTCAGCCTATCCTGTCTCCGACCCTGAACTACTATCCTATCTTTGTTCAGAAATTTTATAAAATATTTTCTTTTTATGTTGAAATTTCTTTCTTCCCACTTCCAAAGTGTCACTTCTCATCTCTAGCTTTACATCCTTCCACTCTCAGAGGAAACTAACACCAACATTTTTAAAAATAAACAAGTTCAAAAGTATTCAGTTTTATTTTTAAATTATTTTAAATAATTATTTATACTTCTGCTGATTAAAATTTCAGAAGATTTTGGTAAAAAAAAGTAAGTTTTTGAAGTAAATCCGTTTTTAGTTCTCAGTTATCGGAGTAAATACATCCTTGGTTCTCACTTACCGGAGTTAATACATCCTTGGTTCTTAGTTACCGGAGTAAATACGTCCTTGGTTCTCAGTTACCGGAGTAAATTCATCCTTGGTTCTCAGTTACCGGAGTAAATAAATTCTTGGAGTAAATCCGTTTTTAGTTCTCAGTTATCGGAGTAAATACATCCTTGGTTCTCCCTTCCCGGAGTAAATACATCCTTGGTTCTCAGTTACCGGAGTAAATACGCCCTTGGTTCTCAGTTACCGGAGTAAATACATTCGATTTCTCAGTTACCGGAGTAAATGCATCCTTGGTTCTCATTTATCGGAGTAAATACATCCTTGGTTCTCAGTTACCAGAGTAAATACGACCTTGGTTCTCAGTTACCGGAGTAAATTCATCCTTGGTTCTCAGTTACCGGAGTAAATACATCATTGGTTCTCATTTACCGGAGAAAATACATCCTTGGTTCCCAGTTACCGAAAAAAATTCATCCTTATTTCTCAGTTACCGGAGTAAATACGTCCTTGGTTCTCAGTTACCGGAGTAAATTCATTCTTGGTTCTCATTTACTGGAGTAAATACATCCTTGGTTTTAGTTCCTGGAGTGAATTTATCCTTGGTTCTTAGTTACTGGAGTAAATACATCCTTGGTTTTCATTTACCGGAGTAAATACATCCTTGGTTCTCATTTACCGGAGAAAATACATCCTTGGTTCTCAGTTACCGGAAAACATTCATCCTTAGTTCTCAGTTACCGGAGTCAATACGTCCTTGGTTCTCAGTTACCGGAGTAAATTCATCCTTGGTTCTCATTTACCGGAGTAAATACATCCTTGGTTTTAGTTCCTGGAGTGAATACATCCTTGATTCTCAGTTACTGGAGTAAATACATCCTTGGTTTCAGTTCCTGGAGTGAATCCATCCTTGGTTCTCAGTTACCGGAGTAAATACATCCTTGGTTCTCATTTACTGGAGAAAATACATCCTTGGTTCCCAGTTACCAAACAAAATTCATCCTTAGTTCTCAGTTACCGGAGTAAATACGTCCTTGGTTCTCAGTTACCGGAGTAAATTCATCCTTGGTTCTCATTTACCGGAGTAAATACATCCTTGGTTTTGTTCCTGGAGTGAATGCATCCTTGGTTCTCAGTTACTGGAGTAAATACATCCTTGGTTTCAGTTCCTGGAGTGAATCCATCCTTGGTTCTCAGTTACCGGAGAAAATACATCCTTGGTTTTCATTTACCGGAGTAAATACATCCTTGGTTCTCATTTACCGGAGTAAATACATCCTTGGTTTTCAGTTACCGGAGAAAATACGTCCTTGGTTCTCAGTTCCTGGAGTAAATCTATCCTTGATTCTAAGTTACCGGAGAAAATACATCCTTGGCTCTCATTTACCGGAGTAAATACATCCTTGGTTCTCAGTTACCGGAGTAAATACACTTTAGTGCTTAGTTCCTGGAGTGAATCAGTGAGCAAGACCTGTCCTAGTTTCTTAGTTAACAGAGTAAGATTCGTCCTAGCCTCTAGGTGTATTGAGTAAGACCTGTCATAGTTTATAGGTTTTTTTCAGTAAGAACTGTCCTAGTTTCTGAGTTAACAGAGTAAGATTCGTCCTAGCCTCTAGATTTATTGAGTAAGACCTGTCCTAGTTTCTTGGTTAATGGAGTAAGATCCGTCCTAGCTTATAGGTTTATTGAGTAAGACCTGTCCTAGTTTCTGAGTTAACAGAGTAACAACCGTCCTACATTCTAGGTTTATTGAGTAATACCTGTCCTAGTTTCTAGGTTTATTGAGTAAGACCTGTTAGTTTCAAAGTTAACGGAACTCGATTCCATTCAAGATTCTGGGTTTCCAGAGACAGATCAGTCCTAATCTCCGTTTTATCGGAGTAAGACCCTCCTATGCTCGGGTTCACTGAAGCTTTTTTTCCGGAGGTAGAGTTCTGGGTTCTCCTTACTTGGGTTTCGAGAGTTAAACTCTTCTAAGGCTATATGTTACCGGAGTTAGATCCGTCCTATGTTCTGAGTTTCCAGAGTTAAACTCTTCATAGGTTATATGTTACCAGAGTTAGATTCGTCCTATATTCTGAGTTTCCAGAGTTAAACTCTTCATAGGCTATATGTTACCGGAGTAAGATCCGTCCTATGTTCTGAGTTTCCAGAGTTAAACTCTTCATAGGCTATATGTTACCGGAGTTAGATCCGTCCTATGTTCTGAGTTTCCAGAGTTAAACTTTTCATTGGATATATGTTACCGAAGTTAGATCCGTCCTATGTTCTGAGTTTCCAGAGTTAAACTCTTCATAGGCTATATGTTACCGGAGTAAGATCCGTCCTATGTTCTGAGTTTCCAGAGTTAAACTTTTCATTGGATATATGTTACCGGAGTTAGATCCGTCTTAAGTTTTGAGTTGGAAGAGCTTTGTCCATCATAGGCTCTGGGTTACCAGAGTAAAGTTCCTGCGGTTTTGTGTGTTCAGAATTAAACCATCCTCCTCGATTTCGAATTCCAATATCAAGTGCTAGAGATTCAATATTCAAAATCTATTTTTAGTAATTTCAAACTTCGCTAACTTTCTTCAAGGTTGAAGGTAAATAGTTGAGAGAGTAGGGATGTGACGAATGAAGTTAAGTTGTAGAAACTTAGAGCATGGTTGCAGGAAATTCTAGTTCAAACTTTAATGATATAATTAAAATATGAAAACTAATTAAATTTAAAAAATACAATGGGAGATATTTGAATTATAAAGTTTTGCCGACAGACTAGGATTGTATTGATAGTTTAAGTTAAATGAAAAACCTAGGGTTTTATTGATAGTTGTAGTTAAAGGAATAAACTAGGGTTGTATTAATAGTTCTAGTTAAATGAATAAACTAGGATTGCATTGATAGTTCTAGTTAAATGAATAAACTAGAATTGTATTGATAGTTCCAGTTAAATGAATAAACTAGGGTTGTATTGATAGTTGTAGTTAAATGAATAAACTAGGATTGTATTGATAGTTCTAGTTAAATGAATAAACTAGGGTTGTATTAATAGTTTAAGTTAAATGAATAAAATAGGGTTTTATTGACAGTTCTAGTTAAATGAATAAACTAGGATTGTATTGATAGTTCTAGTTAAATGAATAAACTAGGGTTGTATTGATAGTTCTAGTTAAAGGAACAAACTAGGGTTGTATTAATAGTTCTAGTTAAATGAATAAACTAGAGTTGTATTGATAGTTCTAGTTAAATGAATAAACAAGGATTGTAATGATAGTTCTAGTTAAAGGAATAAACTAGGGTTGTATTGATAGTTCTAGTTAAATGAATAAACTGGGGTTGTATTGATAGTTCTAGTTAAATGAATAAACTAGGGTTGTAATGATAGTTCTAGTTAAATGAATAAACTAGGGTTGTATTGATAGTTATAGTTAAAGGAATAAACTAGGGTTTTATTGATAGTTCTAGTTAAAGGAATAAACTAGGGTTGTATTGATAGTTCTAGTTAAATGAATAAACTAGGGTTGTATTAATAGTTCTAGTTAAATGAATAAACTGGGGTTGTAATGATAGTTCTAGTTAAATGAATAAACTAGGGTTGCATTGATAGTTCTAGTTAAATGAATAAACTAGGGTTGTATTGATAGTTCTAGTTAAATGATTAAACTAGAGTTGTATTGATAGTTTAAGTTAAATGAATAAACTAGGGTTTTATTGATAGTCCTAGTTAAATGAATAAACTAGGGTTTTATTGATAGTTCTAGTTACAGGAATAAACTAGGGTTGTATTGATAGTTCTAGTTAAATGAATAATCTAGGGTTGTATTGATAGTTCTATTTAAATGAATAAACTAGGGTTGTATTAATAGTTCTAGTTAAATGAATAAACTAAGATTGCATTGATAGTTCTAGTTAAATGAATAAACTAGAATTGTATTGATAGTTCCAGTTAAATGAATAAACTAAGGTTGTATTGATAGTTTAAGTTAAATGAATAAACTAGGGTTGTATTGATAGTTCTAGTTAAATGAATAAACTAGGGTTGTATTGATCAATTGTTCAGGTTTCCACGAAGAGTGTCTGAAGTGAGCTTCCAGCAAAAACAAAGGGTTGAAATTCTCCCAAATGGTCCACACAATATATCAGGTTAAAGTTTAATTGAAAAATCTAAAAGATACTTCCTTTTGTGAATTCTGTACCAGAGTAATATCCCTGTATAGTGTATATGAACCCTATACAAGAGTAGTATCCCTGTATATGAACCCTATACAAGAGTAGTATCCATGTATATGAACCCTATACTAGGATAATATCCCTGTATATGAACCCTATACTAGGATAGTATCCCTGGATATGAACCCTATACTAGGATAATATCCCTGTATATGAACCCTATACTAGGATAATATCCCTGTATAGTGTATATGAACCCTATACAAGAGTAGTATCCCTGTATATGAACCCTATACTAGGATAATACCCCTGTATATGAACCCTATACTAGGATAATATCCCTGTATATGAACCCTATACTAAGATAGTATCCCTGTTTATGAACCCTATACTAGGATAATATCCCTGTATAGTGTATATGAACCCTTTACAAGAGTAGTATCCCTGTATATGAACCCTATACAAGAGTAGTATCCATGTATATGAACCCTATACTAGGATAGTATCTCTGTATATGAACCCTATACTAGGATAATATCCCTGTATATGAACCCTATACTAGGATAGTATCCCTGTATATGAACCCTATACTAGGATA